GTCTTTTGCTTGTGTCTTTATTAAACTTCATCCTGTTACCTCAGACCGTTTCTCCAATTTGTCCAGATCATTTTGAATTTTGACCCTATCCTCCAAAGCAGTTGCATTCCCTCCCAGTTTGGTATCATCTGCAAATTTAATAAGCGTACTTTCTATGCCAGGATGATGTTGGTGATGATGACGGGGTGGTGGGGGTGGGAGTTATGCACTCCAGATTAGTGGGCAAGTAGAATTTTGAAAAGCTGACTTTTTTATCTCTAGGGTACATAAATATTAAAAAATACGTATAATTTACCTTAAATATTTCAGTGAGTCCTGGGATGCTACAGGCTAAGAGAGTACTTAAAGCTAGTAGTTGCCATACCAGTACCATGGTACCTGAGATACTGCAGTATTTCCCTGTATACAGGACATAACATAACTGCAGGATAATAGATTCTACAGGTTAATAACTATTGATAAATATTTACTTTTTAATGGCACTTGCTGTACAAAGAAGGTTTTTTTTAAACAAACTAAATGTTTTAGTGATTTGTCTAATCCATAATAGTCATAGGTAGATGCACAATAATTAACCTTTACACCTACATAATAAAATGTCAGAACAAGAAGTTACTGTGGGGATGGTTCAGCTAAAGTGAGCACAGAAGTAAATGTTCATCCAAAACTTCAACTGAAGCGTGTTGTGAGGTTTGATAACGTTTGGGTAACTTAGTTTATTTGGAATTTCAAAGGCCACTGCATTTTGTGGTGCCATCTAGGGCAACAAGCAGAAATGGCAGTACTTCTAAAAAGCCAGGAAACACTAGACATGCATCCGAAGAAGTGGGCTGTAGTCCACGAATGCTTATGCTCTAATAAATTTGTTAGTCTCTAAGGTGCCACAAGTACTCCTGTTCTTCTTTTTGCGGATACAGACTAACACGGCTTCTACTCTGAAACCTGTCATAAGAAATGCTGTTTCTTGAGATTTCCAGACAGAAGGAATTTGGGTCAGATTCAAAAAAGGATTCAAACTTTTCCATGCATATCTTCATTAAACCGCTGAACCTTTGGGGTTCAAGTATCTTTGGGAGCTACATGCTGCTATAGATTTTGCTTTTTATAGCTCAATAAAACAGTTATGAGAGAAGGAGACTACCAAAAAGGTTTAGTCAACATTATGGATCCAAGACTTGCAGGAGGGCAAAGAAAGCATTTAGATCACACAAACGCCCCCAAATTAGTACTCTAATAATGCAAAAGCAACCAGACACTGACATCAAATATTATAAAGCACATCAGATAGTTGAATAATGGGCTGAGGCACTTTATTGCATGTCACATATCTAGGTATAATATATCTGATATAATAAGTGTAAGATATTGCATTGATGAGGGAAACCTTTTATTTAAAAAAATGCTCATAAAGTAACAGAGTCTATTAAAATGTGTTCATTTTATCCTGCCCAATGAAAAAAAATCAGAGGACTTCAGCACTTGTTTCTTTCATACCACATCAATAAAAAGAAAGGGAAAAAAATCAGCTAAGATCATTTCAAAAGCCTGTCAATTAATTATCTGAATTGTTTATTAAAGAGCAATCTCTCTTGCTTCTATATGTCTCAAACTTGCTTTGGATCATTGTTCCATAGTCCATTGGGGAAAGTGTGAATAATAATTACATATTTGGACTTTTATCTTGCCATGAGTTCTGTATGTGCAGAGACGTGCCCCGCACATGAAGCCCTATTGACTTCAATGGGACCCCAAGTGGGCAGAGGGATGTGTCATTATAGAGCTTATTGCAGAAGTGGGGCCTTGGATGTTTAATGTTAAATGGATGAACCAGGAAATTTTACTACTTTAAGTGAAACAATAAAAAATAAAACCTGCATCACTTCTCACAAGCCATACTTATTAGTTAAATACTATCGCTCATTTATCTATATCTAGATCTATCTCAGGGGTGGCCAAACCATGGCTCGCGAGCCGCAAGCGCCTCTTTTACAGTTAAAGTGCAGCTTGCGAAGTGCCCCTTCTCTGCCTACGAGACTGGGGAGGGCAGCTCGGGGCTTCTGCACTGCAGCTGGGTGGTGGGGCTAAGGGCTTCTTCTGCCCAGCAGGGACGGGTTCTCAGGGTTTCAATCCTATGGGGCACATCTGCCAAGGCTCAGGGCTTCAGCAGACGTGGGCTAAAGCCCCAAGACCCCTCCCTCCCCCCGCAGGGCTGAAGCCCTGAGCCCCAGCAGATGCCTCCCATGGGGCTGAAGCCCTGAGCCCTGGCAGGTGCTTCCCATGGAACTGAAGTCCCGAGACACCCTGTCCCACAGGGCTGAAGCCCTGAGCCTCAGCAGGCATGTCCTAGCTCTTGAACTTCTGAAGATTGTCGTATGCGGCTTGGAATGTCAGTAAGTTTGGCCACCCCTGATATATATAAATACGCACATCTCATATAAAACTGTAAACTATTATAGAATGAGATATTTGCTTTGAACTTCATTCTATATCTCCTCTCAGAAACAGACACCCAAAGAATTCTGTTTATATGCTGCTATTCCAGGCTAAAACAGTAAAATGGATGTGCCCCCTCTCCTGAGTGCCCCCTCCCCTGTAGTGCCACTTACACTACAGCTATGCCTTTTAGGAAAATAAGTACAGTACAAGTAGTGTACAATTGCCCACAGTGTTAGCAATATGCTTCTGCTTGACAAGTGTGCAATGGCTGTCTTGTTGCAGATCATTTGACTTGAACTCGATAGGGCTGCTTTGGCATTCTGTGACTGGTTACATTCATCATTTGTTACATACATACAACAAAATGATCTGATGGAAGCAATTAGTATTCAGAATAAGGTTGCCAACCCTCCAGAATTGTCCTGGAGCCTCCAGGAATTAAAGATCGATCTTTCATTGAAGATTATATCCTGAGATGAAATCTCCAGGAATACGTCCAACCAAAATTGGCAACCATAATTCAGAACTACAGTAGGCCCTCTGGTATGTGAATGGGGCCTGTGCAAGGCTGCAATAATTTCTGGTATGTAATATGAAACAAATCAAGCACATCGCAAAATTGATAATATTAGCCAATAATTTTTTTTAAAAGAAATCTGTAATTTTTGGAACAACTGCAGCTGCGTGACTCTTAATATGACAAATACAGACAATTTAGTGCATTTATAAACTCCTTAAAGTTTGGAAATAGTGTATTGGCTGAAATACAGTTGAGCAATGGAAGCTCTCAGCTCTCCTATAGTTCAACTTTGCAAAGATTAGCAAACAGTTTGGCCCCATATTAGTGCTGTGTTTTTCAGCAAGGAAGAGGGAACACACATTCAAAAGTGAGAAAACAGTGGGGTCCAGTTTTCCATGATTTAGTTCCTGTTCTTGTGTAGGGCTCAACAAACCCCTAAAGCTGCCCATCAACCAAGGATAGCCAAAGCACAGTTCACTCTGGGCATGCCTCTTCTTGTCCTTAGCATGCTCCCTCTGCTGGTAGCTGAGAGAACAGATGTATAATTGATTTTTCAGTCTGGTGGCAGTTTTGAAAAAAATTAAAAAATTAAAAATTGATTCAGTTCAAACCAAATGTGAAATGTTTTGGAACTTTTGGTGAACCGAAAAAGTCAGTTGTGGGTCTGTTTCAGAGCGGGGATTCTAATCTGGGTCTCCCACATCCCAGCTCAGTGTCCTAACCACCTGGTTTAAGGTTATAGGGGGAGTGGGGCGCAGCAGCAGCACTAACAGCCCCTTCTTCTCTTCACCAGCTACAGTGCTATTTACACCTGGTAGAGCGCTATGTGGGAATGTACCAGGGCCACCCGGGGGGGTGGGGGGGAAGTGGGGCAATTTGCCCCAGGCCCCAGGCCCCATAGGGGCCCCCATGAGAATATGGTATTCTATAGTATTGCAACTTTTTTTTACGGAAGGGCCCCCGAAATTGCTTTGCCCCAGTCCCCCTGAATCCTCTGGGTGGCCCTGGAATGTACACTACATGCCACTAAAAGAAGCATGCAGTGTAGACATACCTTAAAGGAGCCAGTGAGGCACAGCTTAGGTGAGTAGAGCACATGCTTGAAAGGTGTGATTATATATGTGAGTACATACCCTACTCACTCTCTACTCCTCCAAGCCATGCCTCGCTGTCTACACTGCTATTTTAGCTATGTAGTATCCTGCTGCTGGGGCCTTTCCCCTCTGCAGGGAAAGACACCTCCCCCCACCCCCACCAGCAGGAAAGGCTCTGGAAGGGAGGAGGCAGTGGGGAAAGGCTCTGCCAGCCCCCTGCTGCTGAATCCCTTCCCCACCACAAGGAAAGACTCAAGCAGTGGAGAAAGGCAAGGGGGAGGCTCAGCCTTTCCTCGCTGTCTTTCCCTACCAAAGCCTTTCCTTGCTACAGTGAAAGGCTCCAGCAGTGGGCAGTTGCTGAAGCTCTTCTCCACTGTCTCCTCTCTGCCAGAGCCTTTCTTTAACACACATAGCTACACACTGCAGTGTGGACGCGGCAGGCTTTTCACTGCGCTATGTACCTTCACATTATGCTGCTGCCAATAGTGTCTAGTGTAGAAGTAGCCTAAAAATTAATGTAAGTTTTGTGACTAAATCTGCCATGCAATGAGAAAAAAATAGAGTCCAATATGTTGAACATGTTGTATACGCTGATTTTTTAATACTTTTATGTGAACTATGGGAAGTTCACAGTGTTGTTTTCTAATTTTACTTACTAACTTCCAGTAGAACCTCAGAGTTATGAACATCTTGGGAATGGAGGTTGTGCGTTACTCTGAAATATTCGTACCTGAACAAAATGTTATGGTTGTTCTTTCAAAAGTTTACAACTGAACATTGACATAATACAGCTTTGAAATTTTACTATGCAGAAGAAAGATGCTGTTTTCCCTTTTTTTAGTAGTTTACATTCAACACAGTGCTGTACTGTGTGTGCTTTTTTTTTTTTTTTGGTCTCTGCTGCTGCAGAGACTATGTACTTCTGGCTCCAAATGAGGAATGTGGTTGCCTGGTCAGTTCAGAACTCTGGAGTTCATAACTCTGAGATTCTACTGTAGTTGGTTTTTTGTACTATAACATGGATTATTCAAATACATTGGTAATAATTCACTTCCTGAGAAGCAACAAGATAGGAATTAAGTTTAAAAATGTTGTCTTCGTTAGCTAGGACATATACCAGACTAACTTAATAGCAACTGGTAATAGCTTGTCCAATTCCCATCACCAATGAACAGTACAAGAAAGTTTATAATATTTAAGATTACTTTCTTTTCCAAGGTGTTACATAATGTAACAAATATAGGTTGCTTGATATTAATCCATAGCTGAAAGCATAAAGTAAACACACAGAATATAATGGCTAATGTCAGTATGTCTCCTTTCTCCAAAACACAGCAACTTCACATAACAAATTAGGGCAAAATTTTGCACTGGTTTATCTCCCCAGTCCACCGCTTTCTTTTTATCCTTACTTTCAGCCTATCCTTTGTCTTCTCCATCAAATGGTGGCCACAAGAAAGATATCATTATTTGCGAAGGTTTCAGCAGAAAGGTAGCCCCTGCATTTTGATCTAAATACTATCAGCTTGTGTTCAGTCTGCTCTCCTCTGGAACAGTGTTTTACAGCTGGGCTCTGACCAATAAGCATGCTCTGTTGTTGGCACCTGGAAGTCTTATTCTGTACTTCACCAGCTGCATCTTAACTGCTGAGCACAGCTGTTTTGGTAGGTTGTGGAAGAACAAGTGGTCTTTGGGAAAAAAAAAACAGCACTTTATACATTAAGTGCTCTCTAGATTAGTATCAGGATTTTAATTCAGTCCACTAGCAAAAAAGGAACAGCAGAAAACATTAATATCTTTATCTTTTTTTTATTAATACCTGTATATTTTTTTAAAGTGGGTTGCCTGTATGTTGCATGAGTTATAGCTCCTATATGGAACTGACCTTTGACTCCATGTAAAATTAATTCCATAGTCTAACCTGGGGGTGATGAAACTATCTAGGTAGCCAAAACTCCAGTGGCTGCTTCCACTCCACCTTCCCTGTTATAAGGTATAAGGAGACCCTGCACAGCTAGACTCCATGTCACATGGAGGATATGTGCCCCTGTGCAGATTCCCAGCTTCCTATTCTTCCCTGAACCCCCAATGCAGCAGAACCCCAACTAGGCTTGGGGAGGGGTGGCGACAAGATTCACCCCAAGGGGAGAATTCATATTTTAAATTTAAAAAAATCTAACTTTAATATCATAGAGTCTGATCAAAGTTATCAAGAAAAAGCTGGCATACTGACGTTATTATTAACCCACAAAATAGAGACCTCTGAAGTAGCCCAAAACACTGCAGACTGCAAAGCCTAATTGTGATGCCTCTTATAATTATTCTTCCCTTTTATGCCAGTGAATTTCATTTATTGCCACTAAAATTGATATCTTATCTGATCAATACAATACCTTTGTGATTAACCACATGTTAGCCAGAGGCCACAGTGTTGATGGGACTTTTAGATCCCGATAGTCCATTCTTCTGGGAAGTGCCTTCCTCATTTTATCCATGGCAACAGAGACATGAAAAACTATCTGTGGATCGGCCTAAACATATTAAAAAAACAAGAGCATTACTGTAATTGGTATTTTAAATTAATACCACTAGCAAAGTTCAGCAAATACTACAAAGTGCCTGCTAATGTACTATACAACCTTAGTATTCTACTGTAGACATGGTATTTTGTACTTTACAGGTTCCGAGTAAGATGATTTGGCCAACAGATATATGTATACATGAAGAAATATTTGTGAATTATGTTAATCCCAATAAATAAATTGGATTACAACATATTATGGTTTCATCATTTTAAGGGCTGAGTGCGTCTTGGCCTTGAGTCCCAAACAAGACACCACGCATTGTTGCATTTCCCTAAGTGCAGACCTTCAGCCTAGTCTCCCCCTTGCTCTGAGAGGGAACTAACCTGCACTGGGTCTAAATGCAGTGCAACATACGTCTTCCAGCACAGCTACAGTGACAGACAGAAAAAGGTCCTACAGTATTGATTATGTGACCTGTATGTTAAAACCTCACATTAGAAGAACAGTTACAGTGAAACAGATTCATTATTTTAGCTATGCTATATATTGAATCAAGTAATGTACTTAATATTGTACTAATCAATTACAACTAATTTTAATGTAATTAAAATAAAAACTATAAGATTACTTAAAAATCTTGTATATAGAAAGTTAATCATTATAACTTTGAAGTTACATGTTCCTACTCTAGTAGTGAGAATTGCTCCTGCCAATCAGCTAATAATTTGCTAAGCACTTGAATATGGAGATAATAATTTGAAAGTGGCTCTCACTTTATTAATGGAGTTTTATCCCATCAAGGCACAAAGACTTACACACACAAGTCCCATTAGTTACAGATATAAGACCATTCTGCAAAAAAATTTGAATGTCCTATGACTTCTCTTCAATAGGCTTGGGATATACTAGCTAACACAAACACTACTTGATGTTTTCACTAGAAATTATCAGTGAATGATCGAGGTATAAATCTGTATATGAGAAAAACAAGGGCCAGATCCTTGGCCCCATTAAGTCTTTTCTCACCATCCTGAAGAGACGTGTAACATACAGGTCATAATATATTCAATTCCCCAGCACCTTCAGAACCTGAGTATGACCAGCTGCAAATGAGGCAGAGAAAATTGTATTGCTCCTCCTGAAAATTGACTCTATTACCACACAGACAGACAGTTCAGTCCAGATCTCCACAATCTTATCTGCAAAATAATTTGAAAAAGCTTCACAGTGTTAGACTGTGCTATGAAAGGCAAATAGTCTCAGTATAGTAGACTGTTTCCAACTCAAAACAGTTCTGTTGCTCAGAATTTTGAGGATCCTATGGAAACATAGAAACCCTCTGGACATACTATATGCATTATAAATATTCAATAATAACTAATAATACAGTAGGACCCTGAAACCTCAGTTTGGATCAGAGGCCTATTGTGCTATACAAACACAAGGCCCTCACCCTGAATTCCTCCCACTTTAGCAGTTGTAGGTCACTTTGATTTCCAAGGATGAATGCAAGGAAGCAGGTGTTTAGGAGTTACTGTATAAATAGTTAAGGATAACAGATTGTTATAATGTCTCCCATAGATCAGCAGAGCAGTCTGTCACAAGAGAGTATTCTTCCTCAGAGCCTTTGAATCCTTACGGGTTCCATTAGTCTTTGATGAAAGAAAACAGGCCCTTCACCCTGACAGGAAAGGAGCATGATAGCATCAAAATAGGTTTTCATTCTGATTAACAACTGAGGACCAGCTCCTCAGATGGTGTAAATCTGTATAACTCCCCTGAAGCTAATGCAGCTGGAGATCTGCCCCTGAGTATTTATAAGAACTGAAGATGGTGATAAGAAAAGGTGACAAGATCTTTTGTTATTTTTGGCTATATAGTGACAATATTAAAAAAATTCCTATAAATTATGCTTAGTATGCTTTTAGGAGACCAAAAATGTATATCTTTGCCAGAATAAATTGTAAACTGCACTTTAAGTGAATACAATTGGGCACAATCTATTACTTGAAGTGAAATCTTAAAAGTCTCTATACCCAGTGACTGACAAGATCCTTTTGTCCTCAAAGAATGCTCTCTGTAGAGGCACATCATGCTTCCAATAAACACTGGAGGTCCATCATGTCTTAACACTTGCAATCATGTCTTAACACTTGCAATATGACCCTTGTTAATATGTTTGAGGAAAGAAAAGCTTTTGAATGAACCACATTATTCAACATCTTTATAAGCTTCTAAGACAAGGCTGTAGTAACAAAAAACAATGTTCTGCTTCCTATTGTTAAGAGGAAGTGAAAGGAAATGAATAGACTCATTGTTCACCCTCAGAATCCCACCTGGATGGAATAATACTTATTTTAAATGAGACTGTGTCTAAATTAGCAGTGCTTCATCTGTAATATAAGGACTACTGATGTATAAGTCAAAACACTCACTTTTCAATGACTGCTTCCATGAAATTTATGACCCAAATATTTTGTATTACCACAACGAGACAGCATTAATGAAGAAATACAGATTAATGGAGATTTAACCTAGGATTTCTGTATTGGAAGTGCTATGCACTTCTAACAAGTCTGAAATACAATGATCAGTATCTCTTGTGATTCAATGGGCCAACAGTAATTCCAATAAGGACAATGTAGTTATTGCAGATAATATTGGCCCGAGGTACTTGGCGAGGTGATTAAAGTTTCACTGGAAATAAATTACTTCTTTGATTTCAAGTACAGAGTCTCCAACAGAACCATTTTTAAACCATAGAGACATAGGAATGAAACTATCTGCCACGAGTTTGTGCCCACATGCATCAGCTACTGTTGGTGGGGCTTTTGAATTGCAAATGAACAGAAAAACCTAACTAGAAAGGATGTTCAGAACACAAACTAAGCACCCAAAAAGAAGGGGGAAAAACAAAAATCCCAGCCTGAAATGAGATATTAGATAAGAATAGCGATGTGGGAAAAATGTGTTGTTGATTTACTTCTAATCCACTCCCTTCTGAAAGCAAATGGAGTGGAGCATATACTGAGGCTGGCAAAGCAGCAGAAGCAGAACATTTGGTACAGAGATAGCACATTTGATTTCATATTACCCGTTAGCCAGCAGCAGGCTGATCTTACAAGGGAATCCCCACAGTTATTGTACAATGACAACGAATATTCTACTAATCCTCCTCCAAAGGCTCCAGGCTTAAGACAGCACTCTTACTCAACCTCACTATTATAAATTGCTATCAGATATCAGAGGTTTCACTACAACTGGGGAGAAGATTGTTTGGGTTGGAATTAGACACAAGTATCATTATGCTGTGTGCCTCTTTGTATAACACCTGCTGCAAGTCCCTATATTCTTGTTATCACTACCACAGGTTTTAATCTTTTAACATTTGGTTTAGTGGTGCAGCAGTGAGGAAGCAATGGCCCTTTGTATTCATCACAGGCTGGCACCCAGGACTAACACCATGCTGTGCATCAGGAGATAATTACCTGGACAGTACCCAAGTGACACTAGATAAAGAAGCAACAGCATGTTCCTCTCACCAGCTTCAGATGATGTTAAAAACCTGCAGAGCTTGGGGCAATGGCACCCCATAGAAGCAACAATGGCCATTAACTTTCTTATTTGAGATTTCACCTTCTTTATTATATTTGATAGTTTTGCTCCAAACTGGCAGCCCATGACAGTGAACTGGAGAGATGCAACTTGAGTGAGCTAGAGTGCTCAAAAAAGCATTAGAAATTGCATTGAAAAATTATATTCATAGCATGTGCGGTGATATGCTAAGCTATACTATCACATACCACAGAGTACTTTGTTTCTATGATACATGCTATTAAACATAAGCCCACAGATAGAAGCAAGCAAAACATCCATTCCACCCTCTAATAAAATTACTTTAAAATTCTTCCTTTCAGAAAAAAGGCAAAGCATATGGTGTATCCATAAACAATAATATTGGAAATTGTATGAGCAAAGCCAAGTTATCATAGAGAACAACATCTGAAAAAATTCATTCACTAACATTAGCTGAGACTTGGTCTGTAAAAAGGGACTTGTTACTTTACTGTTATTATTTACAGCTAGTGGTTCTCAACCAGGGGTATATGTACCCCTGGGGGTATACAGAGGTCTTCCAGGGGTTACATCAACTCATCTAGTTATTTGCCTAGTTTTACAACAGGCTACATAAAAGCCATTAGTGAAGTCAGTAAACACTAAAATTTCAGGCAGACAATGGTTTGTTTATACTGCTCTATATTCTATACATTGAAATGTAAGTACAATATTTATATTTCAATTGATTTATTTTATAATTATATGATAAAATGTGAAAGTAAGCAATTTTTCAGTAATAGGTTGCTGTGATACTTGTATTTTTAGGTCTGTTTTGTAAGCAAGTGAGGTGAAACTTGGGGTATACAAGAAAAATCAGATTCCTGAAAGGGGCACAGTAATCTGGAAAGGTTGAGAGCCACTGATTTACACAGCACTATAAATATGCATTTAAGTGAGCTGACTGTAGGTATTACTGCACATTGTGAATGATGCATTTTTATATTGAAGAGGAATTCTCTAAGGGAGTGATAGCACTGAAGTTACAAGGTCAGATTAATTGACTGAAAGCAATGTAGGGAGGTGCAAATTATACATCTCTTTGAGAGCTTGGGCCTTTTGGAGGAGTCACCCTGAGAAGGACAGGTGAGAATATTAGCTCTCCTCAACCCTGTTTCCTGCCAGCAGTAATGGTAACAGATTTAACTATGGAGAGGACAATATAGGAGCCTTACTGGTAGAGGCTGCTCAGAGGATGTGCTGAATCCGTGCATTGTTTAACCATTCTGGCCGCATCATCTCTCCAGCAATCACCATCCCTTTTTGGCTTTCTGGAGAGGGCTGGCCCTCTTGAGGCCTTTTGGTAGAGGGGATGTTGTTGCTATTTCTCAGTGCTGTAGTCTAGCCTCTCCTCTAGCTACACCCTTAATGACAACAGCAGGGAAGTTATATGCCACTGAAGGTTATTCCCTGCTAGTAGGGTGATTCTCCTCTGCCCAGTTACATCAGCTTTCTAACCAGAGTCCAAGCTGACTGTGTTAAACTTAAATTAAATATTACTTTATTACTTTCTTTCCTTTTGTTAAATTGTCTTTCAAGAGATGACCAATGACCAACTAAGAGAAAGAGATTGATAAATATGTGGTTCTCCTCTCACTTATATCAGTGAAATTCAAGAGTAATTCCAATGAAATCAGTAGAATTACAGTAGTACAGGGGTCGGCAACCTTTCAGAAGTGATGTGCCGAGTCTTCATTTATTCACTCTAATTTAAGGTTTCACGTGCCAGTAATACATTTTAATGTTTTTAGAAGGTCTCTTTCTATAAGTCTATAATATATAACTAAACTATTGTTGTATGTAAAGTAAATAAGGTTTTTAAAATGTTTAAGAAGCTTCATTTAAAATTAAATTAAAATGCAGAGCCCCCCAGACTGATGGCCAGGACCCGGGCAGTGTGAGTGCCATTGAAAATCAGCTTCCGTGCCGCCTTTGGCACGCCTGCCATAGGTTGCCTACCCCTGCACTAGTATATAGCTAGTGCAAATGAGAGGAGAAACAGGCCAGTGGCAACAGTGCTTTCTGCAACTACTATAGGGAAAAGTGGCAAGAGAAAAAGTTTTCTTATTTTATCTTCCTCTTCATGTCAATTTTTTCCCCCAGGCATTGCAATAGAGAATGTCCAAGAAGATGATTGGTCAGCATCAATTTTTTAAAAAACATTATCTAAAGTCACATTGCTGCAGTCCTTAATGGGCTATAAGACTGATTCTTTTAATTCGAAATTACTTGACTTTGATAAAAAGTAGTATCTCTTGGTACATGTACAAATGCATTGGAATTTAATATTGTAGAGCTTCAAAGAATGATAGTTTAAAGATTAATTGGAGTTATTAATATAGTGCTACTTCATATCACAGAATAAAGAAAATAACCTCAAGACAGCTAATTTGTAATATTTGTGAGTTACCAATATCTGAAGATTTTTAGAATTTGTATTAGATGCTGAATTCAAGGTGAGACTTTTAAAAGCACCTGAAGTGAGTTGTGAGCACAAACTGACATCCACTCAGGTGCTTCTGAAAATCCTTCCTCTTAACCACACTCTTAAATATTTTAGAATCCCATTAAAGAATAGGTCATCTATCATGCTCATCCATCTTCTTTTTAAGTTGAAATTTAATTTGTGACTCTCATTTCTATTACTGACAGAGAGACAGTTATACAAGTAGTGTGGAAGTGCAAAGGTTTTCTAAAATATAAGGGATGGTGAGGGTTCATATCTTTTTGTACTTGGCCAGGATTACTACATCATGCCGGAGAAGATTTCTGAATCATTGATCAGAGTTTCTATCAGAAGGCATTTAGGCTTCAGTATTTCTTTTCTGGCTAAATTATGTTATTGTTGAAGACTATATTATATAACAATACTGTAATAATATTAATAATCTTCAACAAATACATATAGCTTCATATTTGGAATATATATACATATTCTGAATATGAAGCTGCTGTAACTTTTTTTGAATGAGCATCAAAATAAAAGTAGTGATGACAGATTTGGAAGATGATGTATTATAGCTGATTTCATATTTCCTGAATATGAATAGTTTAGTTCCTGGAAGGAGAGTTGCTTGGATAGCTATGCTTGGATTTCATATCTTCTTTAAAACAATATACAGAAACTTCAAGTGGGAATATTGTCAAATGGTGGTAGCAATGTCTTACTTGCCAGTGAAACAACATGTACCAGTGCAGTGTGATTTTTTTTCTTAGTACTCTTTTTTAATATTGACAGCCTTTGTGTGACATGTTTAGAGGACTTGAATTTGACAAAATAATTGTATTAAAATATTAAAAAGTTAAAGCAGGACTCAAGTGGTACTTAGGCCATGAGCTGGATCTCTGCACAGAGTGAATTTTATCCAACGTTGATTGACTGAGTAGAATATACAACTTCCTTTAACATTAGTGGGAACTGAGGACTTAAAGCCCTATACAGCACCTTGAAATTTTACCCTTACAGTATGTCACAAATATGAGTGAAACAATTCAGGAACTTGTGCACTAAAGTTTAAATTGCTCTTCATGTTCAGTAAAAGGTCAAGCATTTAGAAGTGTGTGTAAGGGCCAAAATTATAGTTTCTCCAAGGCTTCCTTTGTTAAAAGTACAATATGATGAATTCCACAAAAGCAGTATGAATCGACAAATAACCTGACCTGAGAAAGTGCCCAAGGATGACATCTACTGATGGTCATCTATCCCACCTTGCTGATGTATAGGCCAATCTTCCTCACCAGTGACAAAAGAGCAACAGGTTGTAATTGTCAGGGTTATCTGTAGCCCCAGATGTACGCATTGGGATTGTATGTCATAAATTCTACTCAGCGGGAAATGTTTTATTTTTAATCTGCTATTGACAAGTAACAGCTAGAGGTTGAGCAATAATATCTATACCTGAAGTCAATTTAAAAATGTATGTATCCAGAATATCTGAGCCTTTTGCCTTTTTAGTGTGTAATCTTCTTAGTGTCTTCTGCACCTCATTGAGCTCCAAGGTTCGCAAATACAAAATACTGTAGGTATCCAGCACCTCTGCCCTGAATTTAGCTTTAAAGGAGTCTCTCTTGAGGATATCAAATTATCATTCACAATACACTGTTCACCCCCAGATGTGTAATTGTTGGATGCTCTCCCCGTTTCCAAATGTATAAGCCTCAATAGGTTAGTACAGTTGTAGTTTTTAAGCTTATATTAACCATCCCATTCTTTATCTCCTAAGGTTTGTTTCTCATATTTTATTGTAGGTCGGCATTAGTAGTATTCAGATGTTTTCTCTTTTCCCTATTGCTGATCTATAGGTTTATGCATCTCAAGGTCACTTTGGAACACGTTTATACCAGACACCAGAAGCCTAATCAATACAACATGCTAATATATAAACAATATCAGGTAACATAAAAATGATGCTTTAGATAAACACAGTAAACTATGCTGTTGCCCCACTACACAGAAAACAACCCTTTGCATTATCACAGAAGAAGCCCTGCAGAATGCAGATCGGTGCAGATTGCTCCCCTAAATGCTGTCTACTGAACTTTATTTGCCACTGGGGGCCAGGAACAAGGTTCGTCTCAGTATTATTATTTGTATCACACTGCTGTGCTAGGCACTGTCTAAAGTGAGAGACAATCCCTGCTCTAAGGAGTTTACATTTTAAATAGACAAGAAAGACAACATGTGGAAGAGGAAACAGGCTCAGGGAAGTAAACTGATTTTTCCCATGATCACATAGCTAGTCAGTGGTTCAGGAAAGAACAGAATGCATGTCTTCTAAGTTCCAGGCCACTTCCTTCCCCTCTGGACTAAGCTGCCTCTTCGTTTGTGAAGAATCTGTGTGAAGTCCCTTTAATTGACTCAATGTAAAAAGGTGCGTGACAGCTTTAAAGTTGTACTCTATTCACTTTTCTAAGTAAACTTAAAGTAGTCACAGTAACTGGCTTAATTTAAATGATTTGAACAATCAAGATGACTTTACTCAGAGGTTTCATATGAATATATTAGATTAGGACCTGGGTCTACTTTTTCAGTTACCAAATACACTTGCTTTGATAAGTGAGGCTTATATGCTTATTCCTTCTGTATCATAGTACTTTAAATGCAAACAAAAATTACAGTATCAAAATAAAATTCTGAACTCAAAATTTATACAAACATCACCAAAATATAAGCACCAAATAATAGTTACTGTATTAGACTAATAATTTTGATTTTCTTTGATTTTTAAATCTATTGTAAAAAGCAAAGATGTTAACCTTTGGAGTGTTTGCATTTATGGGACACTTGTTACATCAATGGAATTAGAACATTCAACATGTTAACTTGCACAAAATAGGAAGTGTGAAAGTCAGGTATATAAAAAGTCATACTTAATCTATGTAACAGTTTTGTGCTAACAAAAAAGAATAAACTTACCTTGTATTGTATAAAATGGCTATCCATGTCCACCTTTTCCAAGTTTTGAAGTGTCTGGTGGTTTGTGCACTGGAAGTTGTCTGGAAATTCTGTACAAGCTTCCCAACTGAGAATAAACAAAGTCATTAAAAGATTCTTTATTGGGACTTTTTATTTAAAGTTTACATATTTTCAGATATGTTAAATGTATGTTAACATATAATTAATACTTACAAACAGTAAAAAAGTACAAGCAATGCTTAGTATAAGGTGTGCTAATTTAAATATTATAAATTATACACAAGCTTAAATCAAAGTTAAACCTAAAATCCGATGGACAACATTTTGACACTTTGGTCCCAGTTGTTTGGTTCACCAAATTGTACTTGGTGCAAGGAACCCAAAGGAGTAGAGAAAAGATGGTTTTATACTACTTTTGCTCTCTCCTGATCAGAGACCATTCATGGACTAATTTGACCCCTCGTGCAACTTAAAGCAGTTCCAAGACTGCTCTTAATGATGGCAGGAGTAATGGTCATTTCAACATCCAGGAATCACTGGAGTACAGCAACACTCCAACCACATTCTATCTCTTAGTCACATTTCTAACACACCACCTACACTGTGAGCTGTACAGTGGGGACAGTGAGGGTGATACTGACCCAACTTTGCTGGCTCATTGCCTGAAGGGGAATCCTTGGTTGCCCTGATTGTTAGGAGTTTTGCCATTGACTTCAACGAGACCAGGATTTGACCCAATATTTGTAAAAAACACAATTTTTGTGTAATGGGAGTAGATTAAAAGGACAACAAAACTGTGCGCATTTTCCTTTGTTATATGAAAAGGAGATGTTACCCCGTACTGATATAAAATCAGAAATAAAATCTGCCCTGATCTACACATTTTTTAAGTTTACATGATTATATAAATGTTTAAGCTTACGTATTCATACACTTTAGACATCCCACACATAAAAGTTGCTCATATGCTGCAAGACTCCCTATTTCCCTGTCCCTCCTATCTCATCCAAGCAACAGTGGTTATATAAAGGACAGCAGGATCTGGAGGCTACAGTGAAATGGAAGCTGTAGCTAGGGTCTTTCCAAGAGAGGTACCAATTCTGCAGAAGGCAGAAAGGTGGGCAGTACCAACAGAGAATAAAAGAGGAACTAATTTGATAGGCTGCTATTATTAAGGAGTAGGGATTGGGAGGCAGGCTGCAGAATCAGCAGAGTGAAGAGCATTTTTGATTGTGACAGTTAGTCCTAATTAGAATTTTTAAATTGATATGCACATGTAATGGTGGAAATATAGGCTCTGATTTTGCAGACATTTATGCACTTGAGTAGCTTTGATCATGTGAGTAACCTCTTTAATTGAATGGGACTACTCACATGCTTAATGTTATTTACTCATGTGCATAACTGATTCCAGTAAGGAAGCCTGGAATATGACATTTACATAAAGTTTTGAAAAATGCACAAGCAGCTATTTAGCTGACTACTTTTATTTTCAACATTTTATCATGTTAAAATGAAATATTTAATAGGTAAATGTTTTAAAATGCATTTTAGCAAATGTAAAAGCAAAGTCTTTTATTTATATTTCAATAAACTAAAATATATTAGTGACTAAACCATTGGTGGATTAGGGTTTTGTGGGGCCCCTGGGCCAGAGCAAGTGGGGGCCCCTTCCCACCCCTTCTGCCTGCAGTCCCCCGTCCCCTGCCCCAGCACTCCTGCCAGGAAAATGGGGTTGGGGCGAGGGGCTTGCCACACCTGCCTGGCATTCCTGCCGGGGAATGAGGGGAGCAGGGTCGGGGAGCAGGGGCTTGCCCCAGTCCACCCGCCTGCCCATTGCTCCAGCCAGGGAATGGGGTAAGGGCACAGTGGCTTCCCGAACTCGTCTGGCACTCCAGCTGGAGAGCAGGGTCGGGGCACATGGGCTTGTTCTGCTCCACCTGACCGCATAGTGCTCCAGCCTGGGAGTGGGGGCGCCCATTTTTCCAGAGCCCCGCAATTGACCAGGGTCCCATGGCACAGGGCCTGTTGGCCCAGTGGCTCATCCGCCACTAGACTCAACACTTCTTTATTGAAATTACCCATTAAACTGTTGCAGAAAAAACAGGGATAACAGCCTCCTACTTATTTTAGTCACATCTTTTAAAATTTGAAGGATGAGGTATAATAAATTAATTTTTTACAACTATTGAAATCTCATGAAGAGCTGATGATGAAGTACTGATGTGTTGTACTGTGCACTGAAATAATGTTATAAATTGTCACATTTATAGGAAGATTTGAAGACTAGCTTTTCAATATTTTAATCATCCTCTATAGTTCTCCCTTTCTTTCTCTGTAATATTGGGTTTAGGGTTTCAGAGAACTTTGAAAAAGCAGAAGTTAATATACTTGTCACATCCAGGCAGCAGATCAACATTAGGATCCAGAAGAGTTTTATAAATAACTGTGATACCATCCTTTTCAGCGGCAGTCACTTTGTCAAAGGTCAAACTTAGAACACGGTTTAAGGGAGACCTGAAAAATGGAAATAAAATCAAAGCTGACCTTTCTGAAACAAAATCAAACAGCTTCAAAAACAATAATGAGATTATACATACAAAGGCAGTGAACATAATGGAAATGCTGTTGAAAGAACGAAGACAGAAAATATTAAAACCCACTGCATTTTATATGTTGGAAAGAACCTTAGTAATCTAGTAGCCACACTCTGGCTTTAGTCTTTTAGTTCAGGTGCTTTCATCTCAGATACTAATTCTCTCCCCAGCCATCTTCTTGTCTTTATTAACCTATAGGTTATGGACAGCAACCAAATTGAATTAGTCTTGTAATATTAGCTCTTCTACTGGAATAAATAACAATTTGGGGAGAAAGAAATCAGTATTATGATCAGCACCCAGGTAATCATCTAAGGATAATAGAAGAACACAGCTACCACTCTGAAACCTGAAAACTGTAGATTAATGTTCATGAACAATAACTAAATAATATAAATATATTTTGATAAAACAGAGACAAATTATGTATGATTTTGTCAAAATATAATAATAAATACTAGTTCGTTTAATTAGCTGAACCTTGATGGGAGAAATCCAGTGAGGTCTGTGATCAATAGATCAACCTTTAAACGGATATATTCCTTTATAGGTCTCATAGTTGTAAGCAACATTACATTAAAATCTAATAAAGCATGAATAATTTACACATTTATACTCTTATTAATAAAGTTTCTTTTAAAGGCACACAGTCAACTTTTAAAATCCTATTTCCATATTAATATTTTTACTTACAAGTAACAGCTAGAATAAGTAAATTGAAATAAATTAGAGATAAATATATTTTCTCTCTTTCTTTTCTAATTTGTTTACTTTGTGCATTTGATAGCACTTTTGTATATTCATAGTTTCATTGTTTCCACTGTACAGTCAATCAATTTCCCGTTGTTCATTTGGGTCTTTTACACAGCAACAAAGGAAAAAACACATTCAGATAATCAGAGATCCTAGCTAAGGGTCTGTGGTTTGTATGGGTTTTTTTTTAACGTAAGAGGTATTCAGGGGGCAGGTCAAATTCACTAAAATGCTTTTATTTCATTTTGGTGAAATTAACCAGTTGTGAGTTGTCAATGTCACTTTAAACAAAGAAAACAGTAATACGCTGAACAACAATTCTAAAAAATGTGTCAAAACACACGTGTAACGAAATGTATGTTATTTGCATATTCTCCTACTCTGCTTTTGAGGGACGCAGGAGTTTGAGAAATTAGAAAAAGCAAAATTATTTTTAAAATCAGACCAATATAAATTTCAATTGTTATTTATCATGTTAAATCAGACCAATATAAATTTCAATTGTTATTTATCATGTTGTAGTTTATTATCCATTGTTACTGAAATTATTAAATACTCTACTCCATTAACTTAAAGCTGGCAATTTGAAGATGTATAAAAGAATGGCTAAGAGAACCCATTTTCTGGAACATTCACTAAAAACAATGGTTGTATTTTCTGTTTATTCCAAGAATGACCCCAGTGACAAGTTATCAGTTTTGGGTGAAACAGTTATATACAAGAATTATTTGTACAGAAATTTAATCTGTCATAATACATAGGAAAAGCGAAATGTCATCAATAAACTACTCAATTACTTTTTCAGATTGCGCTGTACATCCAGAGACTTGCCATAAATCTGACATAACCCTGTTCCCAGCAGAGTAGAAGTGTAAAGAATTAGTATTAAAAGAAAAAATTGATTTTTGTTTGCTAAAGGAAAAAGTAGAGAATTTGAATAGGTATTCATCACAAGACTGTATTCTTATCTGCTGCTGAATACGTACAAGTAAATAGGAGCTCTATGCAAAACATTACATATGAAGTTTATATTATGTCTTGTATATTTTACAGTTTTCTGACTGTACAGCAAGTTTTATTATTACTATTAATAATGTATTCTATGGCAGAGACCAAAACCCCAGTCAGAATAGGAGTCTCATTGTGCTAGTGACGGTTCAAGCACAGATGTCAAAGAGAAGAAGATAAAGAAACTGCTTCCTTGACAATAATCAATGGAAACAGTAAACTGTTTTAAAAGCTTGTAAAATCATACTAAAATGCTGGAAATAGCTCATTAAGTTTCAAAATATAAGCCCCCAGAAAATCTCATAATAAAACAGTAAAACAGACTGAAGTATTGATAAATGACTATCTGATGAAGTGGGTTCTAGCCCACGAAAGCTTATGCTCAAATAAATTCGTTAGTCTCTAATGTGGCACAAGGATTCCTCATTTTTTTTATTCAATTATTGACTTCAATGGGAGTTTTGCCTGGATTTGTCTCATAGTGTTTTACCAGTCTGAATACAGGAAATACTTAGCCCAAATAGTTAGAAAATGCCAACAGTAAGTCTGTGTTTTGTAGGATTCTAAATAAATATCATGGCCTTGACTAGCTAAGAATTAGGAGCCAGATCTGAAAATATATTTAGATGCTTAAAGGTGTGGATACGCATCTAATGGGACTCTCAAAAGCACCTAGGCACCTAACTCCCTTTGATTTCAATGGAATTTAGCTCCTGAGCACTTCTGATAATCCTGTTATGCACCTAATTGCATCTTTAGGCACCTAAATACCTTTAAAAACATGTGACTATGTGACTTATTCTCATTTAAAAACAATATTCCAATTAATGTTATTCATTGGATTAGTCTAATTTTCTCTTTCTTCTTCTTTATCACTTTGTCCATTTCAAAATAAAAAATATGATGTCACCATAGATTTAATCAAATTATTCACCTTTAATCTGCTTCTAAGTAACTACAAAAGGTACTTAGTAAACTATTCAATAATTGCTAGCACTTCGGAAGTTATCACTGATTCCAAGTATGCAGCTTTATTCTAGTCACAATGTAATTAAATTGTCTTCAAGGTTGCTAGTGATAAAACTCACAATATCTTTAGCAAGTGTTCTGTAAATTATTTGGGCTAAAACATGTTTAAGTACTTTTTATTTAAAAGTCTGTTGAGACCTGTTGAGATTTTCTGCAATGTGTTAAACATGTTGAACATTATCTTCAAATCAGTGTTCCAGGTATTCTTTACACTTCTGAATTTACAGTAAGTTTACTGCATTAACATCACAGCCTCTCACAACTTGGGCTTAGTTACCATCAAAATAATTATCTTGCTCTTGTATTTTTCACAGGCTAATGAACAAAACTGGATTACTAAACACCATATATTTACAATTATCTTTCAGCATTTTATTGCTGTATTGATTTGCAATTACCAGCCATAATGATTGTTCAGTTCTTCTGAACAAAAATGATCAAAAATCCTAAACTCAATTCTACCTGGTTATAGTTTAACCACACAAAGCATCAAATTATATTAACTTAATTGAGAAAGTAATCTTCAATTGCTGATACAGTACAACAATGAGCTTAAGGTCCTTGACAACCAGTTTTAGACATGATCCCAGATGTGTCCTGTCAATACACATAATTTCACAATAATTCAACAAGATCTCAACAGGCTAGCACAGCAGTGAATAAATTTGTAGTGCAGCCACTTTTTCCTCAGGAAATAAGATATTTTTTTTCTAGGAATTAACAAATCTAAAAACTTAAGCACCCCTCAAACATCTCCAGAAATTATTAGGAGATAACACAACCAAAGTATATCCCTTTTAAAAAACTTTGGTAGGCCAGTCTTTACAAGCTTTACCAATTTATCTTTCACTCTACCATCATTGGTGCTTAAGAGGTTAAGACTTTATTTGTGAAAACAGACAGAGGTAGTGGGGAATCATGTTGTCTACTGCTTCATAAATCTTGCTTAAGATCCTTTTCAATTACCATCCATTTCTCCTTTAAAAAGGGACAAAAAAATAGAGGAGTGGAAACAGGTCAGGGCAGTCTGTGACAATGACAGTGTGATGGGCTTGGACCCCCTGTGGTGTTTCCATCTGCTATCATTAAGGTGACTATTCAGACATGAAAAAATCCCTCTTGCTGTGCTGACAGGCAGACATCAAGAACTATGACAAGGCATTAAGACAGAAAGTCAGAGACAGAGATGTCATATTCCACAAACAATACTGCCTCAAACAAGACCTCTGAAATTTTCTTGGAATTTAAAATAAAAATAAAAGGGGTTTTACCTGGAGGTTATCAAACTTCCTCTTACATTAGTTTGACAACGAAAAGATTGTTGACTGTCACACAGATAAACATTTAGCTCTTACCTGTAATCTTTACCATAAGAAACCCAAATTTTTTGCTCATTCTTCAGTAAAAGTGGGTTTTTAATTTCTTGTCCTTTCTCATCAAAAAGCCGGGCAGGAATAAGATTGAGGCCTGTTGGTTTGAAGTCTGCTGAATATTGTAGTTTTTCGTGAATCATATGCAGCAGCTGGCAAGGACAAAGCAAGCAAATAAAGAAACTAAAAATGTAAACATCTGTAATAAATTGTTTGTACTCCATAACAAATGAAGTCCAAACAAATGATAATTAAATTCATATAGAATGTTAAAAGAAGTGTGAAATGACTGCAATGTTTATCTCAGTGTAAAATAACAAAATGAGCACAGGCTTTTAACCGGCAGGGGGTGCAACAGGATTATGATTGAGCTCTGACCCTTTGGCACAGAAACTGAAAGCAGATGTGACAGTTGTACAGAACAAGCATTTAGCTTCTACATACTATAACAGCTCTCTTTATAAAGGTTATGTTTTTCCTGCCCACATTTGGAGCTACATTTTGCTCATGTTTTTACTGAGCTTGTTCAAGTTTTACAATGACTGCTCTCCACCCTCCTGCCAAACCATAGGTGATCAATAGCTGAACAATAATATTGCAAGCCTCATTTAACAATTTCTGTACTGTGTCTGTTAACTTGCCCCTGCCAGAATAGCCATAATTAGCACCTCTGTGAATATAAGATTTTTATGTATTGCATTGTTTCTTTTTTAGAAATTGGTTCTCATCTCCATTTCTGAACTTTATTTGATTTTACATGACTGCACTTCGGTCTTCATTTCTGCTATGTAGTCAGGGCCTTTCCAAATTGCTGCACCTTCAAGCTCAGTTCTGCAGCAAACATTACTGGACTGCAAATTCTGTTGGCAATTTCATGGCAAAGTGATGGTTCCCCTGAATATTATAGTCACTTCATTCCACTCCCCCTCCCTTTTATCACTCTGCCTACAGAAAAGCACTTTCCCTGCACAGACACTCACATTCTGTGTTCCTTGCCAGCTCCTGCCATTAAACACAACATAGAATTGCTCCTTTCGCACCTATTGGAGACACTAAAGATGCATGCTCATTATGGAGGCAGGCAGGGGAAGCCAGAGCATGAGATAAAAGTTCTCAGTAACTGCTTATTCTTAATACCAAATTATGCATTTAAGCACTTTTTTTTACTTGTCTGATTTGAGTAGGCTGGGGAGAAGGAAGAACTAAAAGTATGTGGCAAATAAGGGGGTGACTAAATACTTGGCAAACAGTGGACCCTGGTTAATGTACTTGGAGATTTTTGTCAATATTTTCCAAACTTGCACATTGACTAGTTTCACCATCTACTAAAACAGGAAATCCGGCAGTTCAGGTGGGACTTTTAATAGAGGGTAGCTGAGAATTTTTATTGAAAAGATGAAGGAAATCCCATAAGTTTAAAAAACATTTAATTATTGTTTATATTGTAAATACTGGATAAAAACAGTTTTTTTTATTGTAGGTGACTTGTAGCTGAATTATTGACCTGTCTGCCAGTTATCCTTAGGCATAGATGAAATAAGCATCCAAAGATTGATTCTTAGTTACACTGAAACTCCTTTTACACAGCTCTGGCATTGTAAAGAGATCTTAATGTGAGAATAAATTATATTTACACTTAATTTAAGGCCTCTCTACACTGCCAGAGGAATGTAAAGGGTTTTTAGTGTTAATAAGAATAAGGTCTGTAAAGTTTATTATATTTAACTTCTGTCTGCTGTTTTAACGTAAAAGTTTAAAGTTATTCACAGAACGTCGGAAAGTGCAGTCTCCTCTGCAAAAACTCATAGGACACATGAACTGGGTGCAGTAGGAGCATTGAAGTCTACAGCATTTAAGCCATTCTTCTAAGGGTACATCTACACTACCCGCCGGATCGGCGGGTAGCAATCAATCTATCGGGGATCAATTTATCGTGTGTAGTGTAGACGCGATAAATCGATCCCCGATCGCTCTCCCGTCGACTGCTGAACTCCAGCTCGGCGAGAGGCAGAAGCAAAGTCGACGGGGGAGCGGCGGCCGTGGATCCCGTGCCACTAGGATGCGAAGTAAGTGATTCTAAGTTGATCTAAGATACGTCAACTTTAGCTACGCTATTCTCGTAGCTGAAATTGCGTATCTTGGATCGATCGCCCCCCCCCCCCCGCAGTGTAGACCAGGCCTAAGAGAAGATGCTGCTCTATCTAGAAGCAATTTGGAGTGGTCTCTGGTTGTGCTGGAGAGGTGATCATTGAGTACAGATAATTTAACATGACAAAATGCATAGACATTGGCATGGACACTTTGCCGTAAGTGTAGATACATAGCCTGTGTGTACAGACACTGCAAGCCTCCTAGCACAGAAATAAATTACTATGTAGACAGTGAGGCACTGCTTACACAAGAAGAGTAAAGACAGACTCCTCTGCACAGGAGGTAGGATAAATGAGATGAGGGAAGCCACATGATGCATGAAACATGGAAACATACCCTCTCGCCATGCAACGTTGTACTCTGGGCACATGCCTAAACTACCACTGTGTTATAGGGACATCACATTGGACCCTTTTTAATGCAGCAACTGCACTGGAACCCACCAAAGTTAATACAAATGTTATTTAACCGCCAAAATTGGAATTTCAGGGATGCAGGATGGAAGATGAAAAAAAACCCCATATAGCAGTTTGCCAATTTTGCTTGGGAAAAATCCCTTTCAGATTCCAAACAAAATTCGGTGATCAGCCTAGCTCCCAGCATTATAAGTTATCAAGCTCACCAGATAAGGAAAGGGTGAAGAGGATAGGTCTGGAACAAAGTCCAAAATGGCTTCTCGACAGCAACAACAAACAGAATTCCCTCCCTCCCACCACCAGGCAAGACACAATCAGCTGACCCATCATGGCCCAGTGGCCAATGGCAGCAGAAGTAGGCAGAACTGTCTCCATTACCTGGATACCATGTGGCAAAGAGGGAAGGCGGTGGGACTAAGGGAGGGCGGAGGGAAACAAGAAAGAAGTGGCACCTTTCCCCTCACCTATATACACACTCTGCAGGCCATCAGGAGGGGGAGGAAAAGAGGTGAAAATAAGTGGGTGCGGTCCAGTACAGTGTACCGGCAAGAGCCGGTATGCCGTGCTGGACCAGACCAGCTTCCCCAGGCTGGTGATTTATAGGGCCCGGGGCACTTGAAATAAATAAATAAATACATGAAATAAATACTACTGAGAATTGTGCAATTATAGGAAACTTTAAATTTCCAGATATAGATTGGAGTACAAGTGCTTACTAATAGTAGGGCCCAGATTTTCTTGGATGTGATAGCTGACGGATTTCTTCATCAAACACACACCGACCCAACAAGAGTTGATGCCACCTTAGATTTGGTATTGATGAGTAGTGAAGATGTCATAGAAGAGCTGGTTTGTAGGGGACAACCTTGGTTCAAGTGATCAGAGCTAATTCAGTTTAAACTAAATGGAAGGATAAACAACAATAGATCTTCAACTACGGTCATTGATTTCAAAAGGGCAAACTTAAAAAAATGAAAGGTATTAGTTAGGGAAGTGGAGTGGACTGAAGAACTCAAGGATCTGAATGTGGAGGAGGCTTGGAATTACTTTTTCAAACTTGCAGGCGGTATCTGAAGTCTGCATCCCAAGCATGGGGAAAAATTCATAGGGAAGGGTTGCAGACCAAGCTGGATGAGCCAGCATCTCAAGGTTATTAAGAGAAAGCAGAAATCCTAAAAAGAATAGAAGATGGGATGGATCATGAAGGAAAGCTACCTCTTGGAGGTCAGAAAGTGTAGGGGGAAAGTGAGAACTGCCAAAAGCCAAGCAGAGTTGGACCCAGGGATGACTCTATGTTTGCAGTCATGCAGATTCGGCGGTGTTTCTGCGGGTGATCTGCCGGTCCCGCGGCTTCGGCATACCTGCCGCCGAACTGCAGCCGAAACCGTCGGACTGGCGGACTTCCCACAGGCACGTCGCCGAAGGCCGCCTGACTGCCGCTCTCACAGCGACCGGCAGGCTGCCCCCCACGGCTTGCCACCCCAAGCACGCGCTTGCTGCGCTGGTGCCTGGAGTTGCCCCTGGTTGGACGTAGCAAAGGGAATTAAAACCAATATTAAAAAGTTCTATAGCCATATAAATAAAAAAAACAAAAACAAGGAAAGAAGTTGGGAAACTGCCTACAGTGGCATGTAGCTGATCTGTAACTACTAGTAGCAAATATCCCCAATGGCTGGTGATGGGACACTAGATGGGGAAGGCTCTGAGTTACTACAGAGAATTCTTTCCTAGGTGTCTGATTGTTGGGTCTTGCCAGAATGTTCAGGGTCCAACTGACCACCATATTTGGGGTCAGGAAGGAATTTTCCCATGGATCAGATTGGCAGAGACCCTGTGGGGTTTTTTGCCTTCCTTTGCAGCATGGGGCATAGGTCAATTGCAGGTTTAAACTAGAGTGAATGGTGAATTCTCTGTAACCTGAAGTCTTTAAATCATGAACTGAGAACTTCAGTAACTCTGCCAAAGGTTATGGGTCTGTTACAGGAGTGGGTGGGCGAGGCTCTGTGGTCTGCAATGTGCAGGAGGTCAGACTAGATGATCATGATGGTCCCTTCTAGTCTCCAAGTCTATGATTCTATGAGTCTATCATGCATGCCGAACAGTCTGTTTTTCCCAGCCAAAGATAGGAGTTAGCTGGGCTGAGGGAAATTTACAAAAGCCAACAAGGAAAGATGAAGGTGAAGAAAGACCCAGAGGTGGAGGCCTTTTTGTTTTTTTACCCTTTACTCTACGTGTTTTGTATCTTTGGGGGAAGGAATAAAAATTCAATAAATAATGCTTTGTTTTGAAGACACTGTTTTCCAATCACTTTAATCAATTTGCCCCTCACAGGTACCAACTGAAGCTGGGCCCGTGGCATTAATATGGTTGGGAAACCAGAGTAATTGGATCATGTCATACTGCCCAGTGTGAAGTGCAGGAAGCTAAGCATGTCCTGTAAGGGGTGCAGTCCAGAAGAACTAAAAGGGGGCTAAGGTGCAGATCACTCTGTATCCATTACAGGGTTTTTCTAATAGGGTCCTGCAGAGATCTATTATTAGCCCATTGTTATTCAATATTTTTAGCAATTATTTGGAAGAAAATAAAAAAATCATTGCTGATAAAAATTTACCAATGACATAAAAATTGGTGGAGCAGTAAATAAAGATAGTGACAAGTCCAGTTTACCGAGCACTCTGGATCATTTGGGAAACTGAGCTCATTTGAAAAGTATGCATTTTACTACATACATCCAGGTGTGAAAGTAGGCTGGTATGGGCCGGTACAGCATACCGGTAAGAAGCCGGTACCAGCCCCTATGCAGCCGACGTTAAAGCACTGCCGGAGGGGGGCCATGCTGCAGCTTCCGGGAGCCATGTGGAGCGGCCCTGGACCCTGCACCCCAGCTGGAGCGCCAGAAAGGGGCCATGCTATGGCTTCGGGGAGCCAGATGGAGTGGCCCCCGACCCTGCTCCCTGGCTGGAGCGCCAGAGGGGGGCCATGCCGCAGCTTCCCAGAGCCACGTGGAGTGGCCGCCAACCTTGTTCCTTGGCTGGAGCGCCGGAGTGGGGCAAGCTCCAGACCCCACTCGAGGGCTGGCTTAAAACGGCTGGCGGGCTAGATCCGGCCCAAGGGCCATAGTTTGCCCACCCCTGCTGTAGCTCAACCAGAAGTTATGGGCTTGAAGTAAGAATTACTGGGTGAAATTCTATTATTTGTGTTATGCAGCTCAGACTGGATTATCATAATGGTCCTTTCTGTCTTTAAAATCTATGAATTTTTAACAACTGGTGATGATGCTTAAAATAAATCTCAGTTAAATGAGTTGTTACTTTCAGTCCAGGTGCTATGAAAGGAGTATTCTCGTGATAAGACTACCATCACAACTTCACACTCAAGGCCCAGTGTCTGTCTTAGCGACGTTCACAGCCCTAGGGTAGCCAGGTCACTGGCTGCCACCAATATTATAACACTGTGTCATGCAGCACAGCTCTGAGCCCATCTAACAGATGCAATACTTCAGTACTTAAAACAGCGCTAGAAGCCAGCAAACTGTGTACACTAGGGCTCCCAATGTTGCTAACACTGACACAGCTGAACCAGTTTTAGCAGTAGTGGGAATTTTTTAAGAATCTCCCTAGTGAAGTCAGACCCCTGTTGGCAGCCTTAGCAAAGAGATCAAGGAATATATGTGTATGTGCAGTGAATTGACCTCTCACCCACAAAATAGGACTGAAGAATTGTGGCAAGGCAGTGCCAGTATCACAACCTGAATTTACTACAAATACATCTTCTCATAACAGACAAATCCTCTGTCTGGGACATGATTGTTCAATTACCATGCCCATAGCAAAGAAGCATCCATTTATAGAATTCTTAGTGCCCCACATATTCCTCTCATATGAGCCTGGGAACTCCATCATAGCCGAATATCGGGAACTTCCAAGCCTTGTAAGAACCCTAATCAATTAGAAAAATATTAAATTACGTATATGGATCAGAATAAACAAGGTCAGAGGATTCTTCTGTTATAAGAAGACATTTATAGTAAGATCAAATTGGCTATTCTCACACAGAGGGAATCCTCTGGTCTGGGAATTGATAGTTGGGGAGTACATTGACAGTCCAACCATGAAGAACAGTGGGAGTAAAGAGCAGCATGAAATAAAGGAACAGTGAGGAATGGCAATCTTGAGGACCTATTGATCAAATGCAGCATTTGAAGAAGAAGCCATATCCACTTTGTAGTGTTTGGTGAAAGAACACAGATGTTGCCAAGTAGCTGCACTCCAGATCTCCTCAAAAGATAGTCTATTTGTTTTCCCCCAAGTGGTGCATACAGATCATGTTGAGTGCACTCTGAGACTTGAAGGAGAAGATTTTCCAACCTTCTTGTAAGTTGCTAGAATGACCCATCTGGAGATGATCATATTTCACACTTTGAAGCACTTGCTTTTCCAGTTGTAGGAAACAAAGTATATGATCACCTAAAGGCATTCCTGGCACCTCTCAGTTACAGAAAATTGATGGTTCTCCTGGATTCTGTTGGAGACTACTTGCCTTGGCAGAAGTTTGACAGACATATGAGCTTCCCTTATTCCTGAGAAATGAAGTGGAGGTGATCTTTATCACAGCTGCATCCAACAAAGGTTTTCCTTAAATTAGTTTTTGCCACCACCTCAGGGACCTCTGGACTGGGATGAGGTGCAAAGATTGGTGATTGAAGTCCCTATTATGATCCCACTTGAAGAGGATCAGGACTTGTAATGGTCTCATATGTAGAAAGGCCCACTGGACTATAGCTGCACTGGATACTACCAGGCGCCTAACAGGTGGAGTGCTTCCCAAGTGGCAGTCTGTGGATTAGAGAGGTTAGGTTGTTCATTCTGAAAGTCTGATCTAAAGGGAGCAGAAGCAGCGGTCTCAATTCCCATGTATATGTAGGAGAAGCCTGGAGGGCACCAAGAAGCCTACCAATGGCTGCTTTTGTAGCAATAGTGAACATGGCAACCCTCCAGTCAGTTATTAAATTAGATGATTCTCTGTTTGTGAACAATTAGATTATCACCTCCAGAACTACCACGCAAATGTCTTTCACAAGAACTACATTCCCTTATAAATAACACAATTGAAAATACCTAAATCTATTGTTACTCTAGCCTCAGGGTCAACTTATGGTAATAATACCATCAGTTAGAACTCATAGAGTGCTTAATATTGTCAAAGGGTTGTACAAACAAGAGGACAAACAGGACAAATACTTAGCTCCAAACAAAGCTCCATTGACTTCAATGGAACAATGTGAGTGTACACCATCTTAGAATTGTTAAATCCCCTCATACCCTATAAGACAGATAAATTAATGTATGGGTGACATTATGCATGATCACAAACTGTTACGCTTTTTTTAGCATGGTAGAGATGACAAGCAACCAGAAATGTATATGTGCAGCTTGTGTGAATGCTACAAGTTCTATTATTTCTACATTATTAACATACTGCTATTTCTTTGTTTTATGAGGGATCAGACATGTTGACAGTTACAGTATGTACCAAAAAACAACTGACTGAGAAAAGATAAGCACAAGATTTAGTGATCATTTGTAGCTGAGAAAAATCATAAATGTACAAGATAGACAGACAGAAAAAATGACCAGGTTGTATTGCATTTAGAAATCTTAGTGAGACTTGGTGGGGTTGTAAAATTATTGATCATAATAGCACAGGTCATAGACACTCTGTATGAAAGCAACTGCAAAAGGGAATAAACTGTTCCACAAAGGAGCCAAATGGAATGGAGCTAAAAGCAGAAGTTCAGAACACACAACACAACAGGGTGTTAAATGGCCTTTCAGGTAGGACAGAGATTTTGCACATACTGGTTCTGTTAGAAACCACTTTGTTTGTACAAGGAATAAACAAAGGTAATACTGCAAGGGATAAATCCACTGGTTCCTACTGAAGATCGGGCTGCTGATAAAGGTAGATCAACCCAGCATGTTTGGACTACTAATGATCTACTGGCTAGAAATGCCAGTATAAACAGGCATCAGTAAGTAACCCATGTTTCCCTGTAAAGGTGATAACATGCATGGATGTTGTCAATCTTCTTCGGAGAGCCCTTCCTTTGTGTAAATGTCATCATTGTATCTCAGAATTCTGAGTTCAGTCAGTAGTATATCATTAATGTAGAGAAATGTCTACAAATAAGCATGGGGAAAGTATAAATCTATGCTGCATAATAGTCTGGGGTATACTGCTAAACCTCAGAGTCTGAGATATAGGGAGAAAATACTTAGGCTCTATGGCATTCTCAATACTCACCAACCAAAACTACAAGAGTCCAACTTTTCTGAACAAAAATTGAAATCTTAATATTTTTATTGCTTAATACTTTAAGATAAAAAGAGATCTAAACTTACCCTCTCCATCATAACACTGGGTTGATTCCTACAGTTATTCTCCATCTCTTTTTTGGTGATATAAACTAGGATCTCCCCTGTGTCTTTGCCATTTTCATACACCTGAAAAATAAGTAATTAAATTCAAGTTAATTGTGCTATAGAAACCAACAAGGTATTGGTAGCCACTGATTCTGTCCCCAACACTGTGGGTTACATTACTGAGAACTTTCAACATTTCTTTGAAGCTTCTTCTTCATTTTAATTAAAGGCCAGGAGGGATTGGGACAACATCAATGGCTGTCACCAAAGACTGAAAAAGGTGATATGATCACTTGAAAATTTAGTTCACGTCTATGTATTGTATTAATATTCGGGCCAGTGAGCTTGGGAAAAAATATAGGTGATTCTTGCCTAAATGTTGGAAGGCTGGTTAATAACTTTGAGTAAAATTTTCAAAACTGTGTAAATAATAGGAGCCTTAGTCCTATTGAACATTAATTGGATTGAGGCTCCTAAATCACATAAGTAATTTTGAAAATTTTACCCTTTCCCTTTCAAATATTAAACTCCACAGCAAATATATTTTATAGGAAGAATTTCCCAGGCTGGTGCTTTAGTATAAAAACTGGTGCAAAACACAGACAGTATGAAGTTCAGAGTTTTTTCTACACAAATTGTGTATCCAAGTATTTTATGAACATTGAAATCCAAAGCATTTCAGCTTGTCTTCTAAGAGAGGGTGCTCCTGTAAATGGGGTCAATTCTGGGTGATTTCGGGTAGCACTGGAGAGATAAGCCCTGAATATAGACAGGTATTTAAATTTTCAGTGAGGAGATTCACCTGACATTCTACTGCTGTCTTCCCATGTTTTCAAGTGCTATGTATAGAATTTTAGGCATATTTACATTGGGCAAAGAACTGAGTATGGAAAAGACTTTATATTTGATTCAGACATAGGTAAAATGCATGTCTAAAAATCTGACAGTACATAATTTGGCTGTGTTAGAACTACAGCTAAGTGAATACTGCAAAAAACATTCTGCAAATATTCAAATGCTTTTTGTATTCACACCCCCTCTGTATTTATTTTCTATGAATATCTGAGCAAATGGGTTTATTGACAGAAATGTTTATAAAGAGAGCACATTTTAAATGAATCTTAGAAAATGTTGAAATCATATTCCAGAGTTCATGTAACAGAAACGTGATTTACCATTGCTTACACAAGTCCAATCAGGGTATGGAATACAGTATTACCTGCATGTTCAGTCAAAACTAACAGTTTTGTGTACAATCTACAGACCATCAATTACTTGGTTCCTAGAATGTCTATGACAACACAGCAGTCATTTAACTTTGTCTCTAACTCTGATACACCCAGAAAGAAGGGTAGAAAATAGTGGAAACAATTGTATTGGAATAATATTATAACTCTAGTTTACAGGGAAATTATTTTGTAATCTAATTACAGAGGATTGAGGGTTATTTGGTGAGGGTTATTGTGTTTCATAAAATGTATTGCTATAGGTTCCATGCAGGTAGAGGCCTGTCTAAGACTGAACAGAAAGGAAAAAAAGAATGACAAACTCAAAAGATAAAAATAAATTTGATTTTTTGGTTGATTTCATGTTGATTATTTTCCTCTATGATACTGATAGCCCTTTATAGCTGCAATGCTGTCTCTTTCTCTCTCACTTTACACGGGTGCCAAAAGGGTAAATAGAGCATTTCAAATGTCTATATTCTGTGAGAACAGTGGGAGCGATTTTATTTTACATCACATTACAAATTATAGTTACCACCCTGTCACTACAGTTCCTCTCTTATATGTATGTTATACTTCACTAAAGTCACATACGTCCAAACCAATCTAATACTACTATACTGTATCCTAGGTTGGAACAAAGTTCTCAGTCACACACAAAGTAATAAAATAAAATGGAGTTAATGATGAAAGCAACTATAAAAGTGAAATAATAACAAAATAAAAAGTTAATGGCCATATCCACTTCATTATATACTGTAGTCCATTATCGCTGGCTTTTGCTAAGTTGAGGAATAGGAGGAATACGCTATAGATGTTCCTTTGTCTGACATTGTTAGAGTATCTGGAGATGCTAGACACTGTGGAATAAAGCATCCCTAAAGAACAGCATGATGTTAGTGTCAGCTGCCAACCTGAGAGAAATCAGTGATGCTATTGGACAACATACAAGGCCCATATTAGTTCCCACCACCACCACTAAACAAACTGTTAAAAGTTCTGTTAAATTTCACAGTAGGTGTTTCACTAAGGCACTGAGCAATACCTATTTCTATATTAGAGCCAAAACAATTTCCCACTAAGGTGCAGAGAAGCGTAGAGAGATATAATAACTCAAAGATGGAGGGAATGAAAATGAAAGGGCTGAACCTGTGGTTTACTGTCTCTTTGTATAAGAAAATCCAGAACCTCCTTTAAAAAAATCCTGGCTGCTTAAGGCTATTTAGGAAATTTAAAACAACCCATTCTAGAGCCAGATATGACCATATTTCACTACTACATCAATCTACATGATGAACACTCGCTTAACAGTTTTTATTTTGAGCTAATAGGAGGATCCTATTAGCAACACAATGCATCCGAAGAAGTGAGGTTTTAACTCACGAAAGCTTATGCCCAAATAAATCTGTTAGTCTTTAAGGTGCCACCAGACTCCTTGTTGTTTTTATTAGCAACACAGAAAACAAATATTTCTGCCTTCTCACAGCTCTCCATCTTCTTCCCATATCTCTGTATTTTTCCTTTCATCTGACAGCATTGGGAATGAATGTCAATTAGATAAAATTTAGTCCATTTCTAGCCAGTCACTTTTTATGTAATTAATTCAGGTCTTAAATTTATTCAGGTAATGTTTGTGTTAGCTACTTTCAACACAGTTTGGTATCCATATGTGCAAAAGAAAACAGGCATTTCAACAGACAGCTATTCCTCTATAGGACATCAATTCAGAAAAGTATCACAGCACATGCTTAAATACATCTCTTTTCTAAACAGAATTTAAGCATATGTTTAACATTAAGAATGTGCTTTAGTCCACTGATTCTAATGGAACGTCAGCACATGTTTAAAGTGAAGCACATGCTTAAGTGCCCTCCTGCATAGGGATATTTTACTGAACTGGGGCCTATATATAAATCACAAAGAAAGCTTGAAAGCTATAAAAAGCTAGTCAGCTACTCTGAGATTCAAATTAAGTTTGAAGTTTTAGAAGCTGTTATAAAAAAAAAAACATAACAAACACAAATGAAGCCATTTCATCTAGATGTCGCAAACCAACATGGAAGCTTCAAATACTAGGAAACTGCCACATAAAGCCACTGACACTTCAAGATCATCATTCAGGTTTTAATTCCTTAAGTGTGGTTAAAAATCTAACTGTGGTAAAAAATAGACTTCCATACCATACACAACGTTGCTCAAAACAGCTATTCAGATCATCCCGTAAGTTTCTCTCTGTAAGAGCTAGAGCAAAAGCAAAATTTGGGGATGTCAAACAGCTTGCAAAGAGAAACTTGCAATAGATTCAAAAGGCAAGAAGCAAAAAAATTGAGAACTCACTGATCAACATCTCAAATATGTTCCTGTGATGTACACATACATTTATTTGTTCTTATCTAAGTAGTCTATGGAAGAAGTAAAATAAATTATACGGAGCATCATTCTGCCACCACTATACACTTTGAGTAGCACTTCACCTACACATTTTGAGCAGCACCAGTCCCACTGAAATCAATCAATGAGAAGCTATCTAATCAAAATCAAATACTTCAGATCATACATTCACATAAGCACACAACTTCAATACTGAAATTCAGCCACTTCTGAAGAAAAGACATCTCGCAGGCAGACAACGAATGCAAAACACACTGTAGAAAGACTAGGGAGAGGAATTTTTTGACAAAGATTACTTATTTTGGGATAAAATAATCCCATTATGAAAAATGCTCTAGAATTTTATTGTCCATGAGGAGCAGGCAGTGTACGGGTTTTGAAGGTCCACCCAAAATAATATTATAAAGCAAACTGCATCATATTTATATAAGGGTGAAGGGCGAAACTGACCCAGCTAAGAAATACTCAAGGTATTTGATTCTCATTGACCTTCAATGAGGCATAGGCTCTTAAATCACTTTTGAAAATTAAAATGGGGTGGGAAGGAAGGGGAAATCAACTATAGCTGCATCAACCCCTTAAATGCCAGACAAATCCGAGGAATATGCCATTTACACAATTCAGGATTAAAAGTCTGCATTCTGCTAAACAACAGTTACAAAGCAACAACTCCCAATAGACACATGACATACAAATTTGACATTCCATAGAAATAAACAATGGCACTTTAAAACAATCTAGCCTAGGAGCAGAAGCAGAAGTAAACTCTGCTTGTTAAAAATATTTTAAGAATGCATTTCATCAGCCTATTCTTCTAATGTGCTCCTTTACTTAAAAGGATATGATTTGGTCATATATGATTTAATTAAAACTCAGGCTGCACACATACAATGCTTGATTCAATGACAATTTAAGATGTATAGCAAGACCTGTCATCATTTGGGAAATAGATAGGCAAGTATTTACTGGTTACCAAAAATCAAACAGATTTTTTACCCTCAGATTAATCTAGTGTTAGCAACAGGAATGCACCCATTTTATAACTATACATCAAAGGCAAGAGAGTTGTGTTAAGAAGAATAAAACAAAACACTTCTCATCAAAGGTAACCGTATTTTCTCCCATTTTATAAATTAAAGGTCTGACCCTGGAAACCTTTACTCACATGAGTAATCCTTACATGAGAACTCCTACCGAAGTACATGATCAAGCCCTTAAAAGCAGATATAAAAAATATGGACAGGAAATATAGGCATTAAAAACTGGTAGTTACAATTCATAAGTGTTTATTGCAATAGATATTTTAGAATTAAAATTTCTGTAAAAATACAGCTTTTATTGTACAATACTGTACACATGCTGCTATAAGAAAATGTTCCTTGGGCCCAATTCCTGTTCCCATTGAAGTCAATGGCAAAAGTTCATGTGGTTTATGTCTAAAAGCAGTTTATGTGCTGCCTGATT